AGCCTTTTCCATTCAATTTCTCTGTCTGTACTGACGGAATATTTTGATGTGCCCAGGCCCCATCGTGCTAGAAATTGTTAGCATTAAGTATGTATAATATTTAGAAATTCTGGGAAATAGCCCCCTCCACTCTCTAGTAGAGGAGGCTATTTCAGTCAGGTGATAGGTCCTAGTTCACACAAACAAATCCAAGAAAATGAATAAGCAGTAGAGTCACACATCTCCTCCACCAAGGAAATCAAAAGTGATGACCGACTGCACAGAAAGTGATGTTTTCATGTTTCTTCAATTGCAGTGGACTACTCTTGATTGATTTCCTACCCCAAGGGAGCATTATAAACTCAACAGTACTCTGATGAAATTACGGAAAGCAATCGACCAGCCTTCTCACAAAACAAGTGATCCTTTTTCAAGAAAATGCTCTCTCACACATCTCCCATGAAACCCAGAAGACCTTAAACAAATTCTAATGGCAAACATTGTCAGCAAATTCATATCAAGTATAAAAAAAACTTCTTTACCTGAATTTGAAAATTCTGATGTTTGGTTCATTTAACTCAAAGTTATTTACCTGATGTAAAATCTTTGAATTTTGTTACATTTAAAGATGAAGATAAATTTTAAGACTAAAAACTTAAGATAATTCATTGAGATGATGAAGAATTCTTTCTGCATCCAGTACTGTTACTGCACAAATGTGATTTTACTAGGCTATTGATCAAATTTGTACACAATGAAAAATTGTCAAGTTGGAATTCACTTAATGCAAATCTTATTATGAGAAAGATTTTGAATGCATTCAAATATGTTTTCAGTTTGACACTTTTATCAAGTCTCAACCGGGGGGGGATGTTATGAAGTGAAGTAAATTAAACCTAGGGTAGGGTGACATCTTCTAGAATGTTTGAGAATCTGAATTATTCTTTAGTCTGAAATGTGAAGGAACAATTTGGTTTTGTGTCTGTCCTTGTATGTGCTTCAATAAAGTGTTTCCATGTTTTCAGAATGACTTTGGTCTTCCTGGATTTTCAAAACACCCTGCCTTGGGTAGATGCAAACCCATAAATTAATTAAATTTCAGCTTGTTCTGTTTCACTAAGAAGTTCTAGGCGAAGAAATGGTGACATTAGCAAGAACTGGGTTTTGGTTCTCACCTTAATCTTAAAAAGAGGAGCTCTGTTCCTAGAAAGGATGATGAACTTGTGACAGCCTCCACAGTGGCGAATCTTGATAAAAATGCAGGCAACTTAATTTTATGTGATAAATTCTACCACAGCAAAAATGTTTTAAAACATGAGAAGTGATTTTAAGTGATAAAATACAGTTATTATTAAAGAAAGATGCCTATTTTTCATGCCTTAAAAAAGACGGCTATTTATGCAAATTTTGAAATGCTAAAAAAATCAGTTGAATCATTCTCAGTGAAATAATTCTCAGTTTGATATAATATGTTCTAAACAACGAAAAGAGAATGCATGTAAAACAGAGAATTCCTTCTCTAATTGTTGTAGAAGTACTTGCAAACTCTTTGCATAGAGCACATTTGAACTCAAGATCAAGAGTGGAAGATTTGCACTTTATGCGATTCAGATAGCAAAGTAGTTACATAGGCAGAAAAACTGTAACATTACTGAATGTTCCTCCACTTAGGAATGAAACTGAAACACGTGCATTGTTTGGGAGGAATGAAATGAAAGTAAAGGAACATTAAGTATTTTCTACTGAAGTCAGTGATTCAAATGCATGTAGTTTTGAAGTTCTTTTAGAGGATATGTGGATTTATTCCAAAAACTAATGACTGTAGAATTCTAAAGGACTTGAAATGAAATGAAATAGATTTGAGAGATTTTTGTGTGAGCAAAGTGAAAATGTTCTTTTAATTGGGGCTGATGGTTTGGGAAAATTGTTGACTAGGAGTTTATTTGAGCTAGACTCAGGGATAAGAGCCATGAAAACTAAACTTGAGTACATGTAATTGGAGAAACAGAATTTAAGTGTGGGTGATAGCATTTTAACTACTTTGTCTTTGCATGTTAGGAACACTCCTTTGAGCGCATTACAGGAACTTCAAATTTTAAGAATAGCTGATTCATCCCAAATTGTTATGGAGAAAGGCAGCTTAACTGATTTTGAAGAAAAAATAAAAATTCTTTTCAATGGGAGATACGAACTAGAATTGCCTTGGAAATGCTATTCTACATATTTAAGTGATAACAGAATCTGGAACGAAGAGATATGAAAAAGTGATTAGGTTAAAATGTGCTAAAATTTTATATGATTATCAAAAGCTATTCCAGGAATGAGAGAAAATGACTGTCACTGAATGCGTATCGAAAAATTAATTGAATACCAATGTCATTATTTCCCTCACAGGGCAGTGATTAAATTAGATAGTAAATCTTTAAAAATTCACCTGGTTTTTGATGTTTCTTGCTCTCAGAAAGGGAAATCTTCTTTAAAGGATTGCTTACTTAAAAGGGTTTATCTTATGGAAATACTACCTGATACTCTTGATCATCCAATTGATATAATTGCTGGCATTGAAAAGACTTTTTTGATGTTATCTGTTGTCCCCAAAGACAGAGATTTTCTTACATTTTTTCCCCCTGTGTAATGAGGGGCAAGATATTTATAGACATTGTTAAGTTTTATTTGAGTTTTCTAGCCTTACTTGTTGAATGCCTCTATCATGCAACTTTTAGAATAGTGCCCTCCACTGCATGATGAAACTGTTCAAAAACTGAAAAACTCATTTTAAGTGGACAACTGTGTAACTGGGATCTGGAGTTTTTAATATTAACGAACAAGTTCACTTTATACAAATAGCAAGGGGCTGTTTCAGTTTGTGTGGTTTTGAAAGTATTGTTGCTTGCAAAAATGTTGATAAGCATTCTGGAGAAACTTCCATTTTAGAGATAATGCAGAACTTATTTGTTACTTTAAGATGTGCTAATTTAGGGCCATTGGCATATGGAACGAAAATAACCAAGATATTAATATAATAACAAAATATTTTGATCCTCTTGTCTTATTAACTCTAACAACACTACTTCTAAAATTACTGTTACAAAACTTATGGAAGTAAAAAAAAAATCGGGATTGTGAATTATCACCAGGTATTTTGAATAAATTCTCAAAATTGTATAAATATGTTTATGAACTAAAAATGTAACTTGTAATGTAATGTAATTGTTTTTGTTGCTGAATTGCTTGTTTGAATTTCCTAAATTCCTTGTTTTTCTTGATGCCAGTAAAGGGGCATATGCTACATGTGTCTATATTCAATCAACAGTTAATTCTGAAAGTAGTTATTGCTACAGAGAATAGCTTCTCTCAGACCTCTGAATATATTACAAGTGGAGTTGATGGCTTGTAGTATAGGCACTAGGCTTGTAAATTTTAACATCAAAGCACTCAAACCATAAGAACAAATCATTTAAAAGGTTTACCAGATCTTAAAAAAGCACTTTATTCTAATTCTACCACAGCTATTTGATGGATAAAAGAGCTGGGAAAATAGACAGTTTTTACGACCAACTGAGTGAAAGAAATTCCTCATTTGACAAATTGGGATGGAAAGATATTCTACAGAGTATGAATATTGCTGATTTAATGTTGCGTGGCTATTCTGCTTAGGGTGTGATTGTTTCCTGATGGTGGGACTGGCCTCGTGGCTACAGAGATATCCACAACGTTGGCCGGTTGGCGAAATTGATAGTTGGCCTGAAGTAGATGTACACAGAAAAAAAAAAAAAAAAAAAAAAAGATTTAAATGGTGGGAAAAAAATTAAATAATTTGGCGTAAGATGCACTCCTTTTGCATCCACACAACATATATTATTATAAAATAATTCAACTGTTTGCTTGGGTTTTAAGATTTGTAAGTAATTGTGAACAAACTTGTATCAAGTGTAAAAAAATCTTAACTTCTTGTCCTGAATTTGAAAATTCTGAAAAATGTAAGATTCATTTAGTTCAAAGTTATTATTTACATGATGCAAAAACTTTGAATTTTGTTACAATGTTTAAATAAAGTGGTATGAAAAATTAATCCACAAAAAGTAAAAAGAACCTAAACTTGGAAAAATGTGATGCTCAGATTTGGCATTGGTATCATTTTTAATCCTATGTTAGTTCAGAAATCATTGCCAAACATTTTTAATATTTATAATGTACCTTTACAATTTTTTAATAAAATTCTTTTTTGAAAACATGATTTAAAATATTTATTTTAAGATTGTGTGTCAATTTTTATAGGTTAAAATTCAAACACTTTTTTTGAAAAATTTCCAAAAATTATTTTAAAATATTTATTAAAATAAAAAAATAATAGAATTTATTTGGATTACACCTGAATTCCAAATAATACAAAAGCAAAGAAATTTAGAAAAGGTACGTTATTTAATTAACATTACAAAGTTAAAATGTAAAAAAAAAAAAAAAAAAAAACTGCTAGTGCAATTTTTACAAAATTTGGCACTTTGGCATAATTTAAAGTATAGATTTGAAATATGGAAAAAAATTTGAATGTTATTTCAGAAAAAGTCTAATTTTGCATCAAAATGTTGATACATATATTACAGTTACATATAAATCTTATTTATATTGTCAGTTGTGCTTCCGAGACATGAAAAATGGAAGTTAAGAATTCATCGATCAGCCAGATAGAATGGGAGCTAGAGAACTATTAACTACCTCCTTTTTTTGACCTCACTGTGCATATCCAAGATCAATATTTCAGTAAATAAATCCCGTAACAGCATTTTTCTACCATTTCTTACAGGCACATTGAAACAATTCAATTATAACATGTAAACAAAATGTTATAAATGCATACATACGTATTTATCTCTTGTATATATAGACACACAGATAAGCACATACATATAACAGCAAGATTATTTATAAATGTATAAAACTTATTCAAGTTTCTCTTATCTTTTATCTTAAAATAAAAATATCCACACATCACTCGCTTGTTTATGAGAATCTATACTTACAAAGCAGCTCCTACGACAGATAATGAGATGGCTAAACCAATTCCCAAGCAACACCACATATAAGGGGAAAGCTCAGATAAAAGCCTATGGAAATGAATTGTCTCATTTATACCACATGAAAATTTAGTTTAAAATTCAAGTTACAAAATTAAAACATCACAATAAAACTGAATTATTTTGTTGCATACCAAAATAAGTTTCATTTTGTCACTAGCATTTGTCAACAAACCATACTTAGAAGAAAAAATTTAATGTCAATTTTTTTACTTTTTTTAAAATCAATGAAATAATTTATATACTTTGTTCCTTAATAATAATGCTTAAAGATACATAATTTTTGCAATAAAATATTTATAGCGCTATATTATGACAATTAGATTTTTTTCTTTTTAATGCATATGTAAATATGGTATTAAGTAGTTTACTTTCTTCAATGCTAGTCAAAGGTAGTTAAGTATTATATAGCTGCTGTTTCCTTAATTTTTTTTTATACAGTTTAAATAGAGATTGTTCACAGTTGCAAGAAGCACACTAATTTGAATTTTTTTTTCTCTTAATTATTCACACAGTAGAGTAGTTCTGTATTATAATATAGAATTACAGCTTTCTTTTTAACAAATACGGTACTATTCCATTTTGAGGACCATAAACAATCATCAACCTGTTGTTGATGACAGTACTGCCAAAAATAATTGCGGCAACTCTAACGCAAGAAAGGAAGTACAGTCAAAAGTCTTTAATCCGGAATCGTCGGGACTTCGGCGATTCCGGATTATCGATTTTTCGGATTATAGATCATCAGTTTAAATCTGGTTATGGCATGCAGAAATTATAAAATTAAAAATATGAAACCATAATTTATGAAATAAAGAACAATTAATCTAAAGGTATCAAATTACAAAAAACTTAATTTTGTTATTATAAATTTTTCAGCGGCTGCGCACAAGCAAATTAAAAGAAAATTTTGTGTATTCTGAATTGATTTAAAATCAAGAGATACTGGAGAAACTACATTTAGTGGGAATTCAAAAATTGGTGGTGTGTGCTTAATGCATGATATAATTAAAGAAAATAAGAGTAGACAATCTCCTATAACAAAAGAATATATTAAGTACTAAATTACAATTTAAATTACATTGCAGAGATCAACACAGAGCTCGGAACACAGTTCGTGCTAGCGTCGCGTACCGTTGTGTCCGACGAGAAGTCTGAGTGAGTAAAGATGTCGCTTTGCTGCTCCGATTAAGAACTGGATTTTACACGTGGCGCCATCTCATGAATAGAAGTTGAAGTATCTGTCGGAACGCCACAGTACTCCCCCCCCAAGTACCATCGGTACGTTATAAGTACTTTGGGTTAAATTTAACCTTTCTTCCAGATCTGGTAGTTTTAGGTTGCTCTTTAACGGGATGTAAGCTTTCTTCCGGGAGTGATGTTGATGAGGAAGTTGTTGGATCTTGCATTAGAAATGCTGGTTTGAGACGATCGATTCCAATCACTGATTGTTTGCCATTGCAGATGATGGTGAAATGTTTCGGTGTTCGTTTGACAACTTTGAATGGACCATCATATGAAGGTGTTAAAGTTGGCTTAATTGCATCGTTGCGCACGAATACGTGCGAAGATGTCTCAAGCGCAGGATGTACAAAATAGCTTGGCTGGTTATGCGAAGATGCTGGGGTTGGCGAGATATTGCTCATGGTCTCACGTAAACGTTGAAGGAATGTTGGAGGGTCGATAACTGGAGTAGATTCTGGGTGAAAGAATTCACCTGGCAGACGGAGGGTTGCACCATATAACATTTCAGCACAAGTGCTACCAATGTCTTCTTTGAATGCTGTGCGAAGACCAAGCAAGACTAGGGGTAAGGCTTCTGTCCAGTGTGTGCTACTGTGGCACTTCAGACCTTGTTTGAGAGATCGGTGAAAGCGTTCCACCATCCCATTTCCAGATGGATGGTATGGTGTTGTGCGAATATGGCGAATGCCAAGAAGAGAGGTGAGGGATGCGAACAAGTGACATTGAAATTGTCGGCCTTGGTCAGTAGTGATGGTGGTAGGCATGCCAAATCTTGAAAGCCACTGGGAGATGAATGCTCGAGCTACAGTTTCAGCGGATATATTTTCAATAGGAATGGCTTCAGGCCATCTTGTGTACCGATCAATACAAGTGAGGAGGTAAGTGTAACCATTTGAAGGAGGCAATGGGCCAACCAAGTCTAAGTGCACATGATCAAAGCGTCTTGCTGGAAGGTTAAATTGTTGAATGGGGCTGTGAGTGTGACGGGATACTTTACACCGTTGACATCTAATACATGAACGAGTCCATTCTGTGATGTCTTGATTCATTGCTGGCCAGACAAATCTGTCTGCGATCAGCTTTTTGGTGGCACGGATTCCAGGATGTGCCAAATTGTGCAAGGCATTAAACACTTCACGTCTAAAATTGACAGGAATATAGGGACGTATTCTATTGTTCTCTATGTCACAGTAAATTTTAAGCGTTGGATCAATGTGCAGCGGTTGTAACTGAAGGGAGGTTTGTGGATTTGAGATTAGGTTCTTGAGTTCCTCATCATGCAATTGAGCTTTTGCAATTTCAGAGAAATCTGGGGTAGTGAGGTTGATATTGTTTACCCGAGACAAGGCATCAGCGACACAATTATCAGTACCAGAGACATATCTGATATCTGTACTAAACTGGGCGATGATGAAATCCAGATGTCGAAGCTGACGAGGAGAACATGAGTCAGAGTTTTTTCTAAAAGCGAAGAAGGTTAATGGTCGATGATCGGTGATGATGGTGAAAATGATGATGAAGTCGTGTCCTTCCAAGTTGTGCCGGAAGTATTTAACAGCACAGTACACAGCAAGTAGCTCTCTGTCATATGTGCTGTATTTCCTTTCTGCAGTAGTAAGTTTTTCCTTTCTGCAGTAGTAAGTTTCTGCAGTAGTTTTCTGGAAAAGAATGCCATTGGGGAAAGTCCTTTAGTGGTATGGGCTTGAAGCACTGCTCCTATGGCCGTGTCAGATGCATCTACCATTATAGAGAGCTGATCACTAGGTGAGTGATAAGAAAGTGTGGCTGCATTTGCCAGATCGTGTTTGCATTGCACGAATGCTGCAGATGCAGATTCAGTCCAAGGGACAGCTCGTTGATCTTTTTTTTTTTTTTTTTTGCTATTCTTCAGAAACTCATGTAGGCAGGCTTGTGTGTTTTTGCGGCATTTGGCAGAAAGCGTCGGGTAGAAATTTAACATTGCTAGAAAACGCTTCAGTTCAGAGATGGTTTTGGGCTGAGGTAGGTCGTTAATTGCTTTGACTCTTTCCGGTAAAGGTTTTAACTCCATTCTGGGTGATAAGACATCCAAGAAAGGAAACTGAGGGTTGACCAAGTACACATTTGGATGGATTTAGTTTTAATCCATGATCTTTAAGGCGAGTGAAAATCTGACGCAGATGTTGAAAATGTTCTTCCGCATCTGTAGATGCAACCAGGATATCATCAAAATATGGGATGCAGAAATCGAGGACCAGACAGTACTTGGTGTATGAAACGCTGAAATGTTTGGCCAGCATTGCGAAGGCCAAATGGCATATATAAGTACTCAAAGAGACCAAATGGTGTAGTCACTGCGGTCTTGGGCACATCTTCAGCATGCACTGGGATCTGATGATATGCTCTGGCAAGATCGAGGGTAGAAAATATGTTTGTTCCATGAAAAAGATGGGTACAGTCTTGGATATGTGGGACTGGATATCTGTCAGGGACTGTGACGGCATTAAGTCGACGATAATCTCCACAAGGCCGCCAGTCACCATTAGACTTTTTAACCATGTGAAGTGGACTGGCCCATGGACTTTTAGATGGGCGAATGGTTCCCTGTGCTAGCATGAATTCAAATTCTTTGCGAGCAGCTTTTAGCATCTCTGGAGAAAGACGACGAGGCTTGGAAAATACAGGTGGGCCATGTGTTTCAATGTGATGATACACTTCTGGCTGATGAGTATGCTGCCCTGATTTGGATGGGTTTAAAATGTCAGGGAATTCTGCTAATAACCGATGAAACCGTGTGCTGCCCGATATAAACACTTATGTTGGTAGGTACGTTTGATACGTGAGAAGCTTGGCCCTGTGATGTCAGCTGAGTTGTAGCATCAATTAAGCAATTATTCTTGACATCCACTAGAAGGTGGAAATGTGTCAAGAAGTCGACACCAATAATTGCTTGAGTTACATCCGCAATAATAAAAGGCCAGTTGAAAGTCCGGCGCGCAAGTTTAAATCAAGTGTCAATAGTTTGGTGCCGTAGGTTGCAATTTGGGTACCATTGGCTGCATACAGTACAAGTTTATTAAGTTGGTGAGCATTTGTTTTAGTTCTCGGGAGCACTGATATGTCAGCTCCAGTATCTACTAGAAAACATAACTGAGTTGAACGATCAGCCAGTACTATTCTGTCGATGTGGCGGACATTCTGTTGGCCAGCAGAAGACCGCCCATTTAGTTTCCCGCTTGTACAAAAGTGCATGGAGGGGCACACTTGCGAGCTTGAGAGCCAAAATTCATATGATAAAAACATATGCCACTTGTGGGTTCTTTGTACTGCGTTCGAGTATTAAGACGAGATGGACTCCTGCTTCGGGCACGAAATTTATTACGTGGGCCCTGATTTGATCGATTGTATCTCCGTGAAGCATGAAGACTTGTAGAGAGTTCAGATACTTTTTTGGTCAATTCAGCCACTTGTTGTTCGAGGGATGAACTGGAAGGTGCAGCATTAGCAGCACTGACATAAGCTGGAGTAACAAGTTCATTAATTTTGTCAGCCATTGCTGCTAAACGGGTTAGATCTTCATTGGAAGCAGCAAGAATTATTTGTATGTTATTAGGGAGACGCGAAAGCCATAGTGACTTCAACAAGTCGTCACTAAAATGGCTTCCTGCCAGATCACGCATTCGTGACAGCAAGTATGAAGGTCGCTGATCTCCAAGTTCAAGTCCTTGTAGTAAAGTACGTATTTTTGAAGATTCACTTTCTGAATAGATTTCAATGAGCCGCTGTTTCAGTTTGGAGTATTTATC